CTAATACGACCTGTCCCAACATCATAGCAGGCGTCCGGCGGCATCCCTCCGGATGAAATTCGTCGTAGAGAGCAGCTCCCTTTTGGGTGGAACATTGCTCTATAAACTAATTACACGGCGCCTATACGACTGTCCCCAAGGGCAACCACGTAGCCGTTTTTGAGACAAGGATAACTCTATCACTAACCAAACCAGTGGTAGCAGTTGGCATCTGAGTCAGATGACCGCCTGTATTACTTGGGATAAATGCAGGGGGTACCTCTTGAGTTAATAGCCAACAAACATTGGCGAATCAAAAGGTTCAGCCGGCCTCCGCCGCCTGGTACCTTTACTACTCAAGCAGGAGTGACGGCGACTGAGTAACACCAAAGTTAACTCATAGCCACTCTCTCAAACTTAGTATGGAGCCTAAAAGGTATGAGTCGTCCGCCTGTTTTTAGCAAACAGGGGCTCTCAACCACTTCTCCTGCTAGGTTAACAACCTATGAGTTGAAAGCCAACAAACATTGGCGAATAAAGGGGAACAACCGGTACCCACCGCTTGATACCTCTACTACTCAGTTACTTGGCGACTAGGTAACAATCATGTTTACTTGGTCACTCCTTAAAAATTTTAGTATGAAACTAAAAAGGTGTTCATACAACACCTGTTCACACTAGATTAAATATGGCGGGAAACAGTCGGCCTAGACGGCCTAAAGTCTCTAGCCTAAAAGCATGACAAGTAGGAAACAACTTTCCTACTTGGTTAATTTTACAAATAACAGGACCGCCTGCCTAAAGGGGATCCAGTCTTTAAAATGGTTCGTATACCGATTGGATAAATGGCCAACTGATCGTCTAGCCTGGAAACAGACAACCAGTCGTCCAGGGGCATAGGCGGCGTGACTAACTATCCGTACCTGTCTGCAACTATCGGCCATGTAAAACAGTCGGTATAGTGTACAATTGGATATCAGAATATTCAATACTTAAACAAATTTGAAGCAAAACAAAAAAATTCATTAAAAAGAAGCCGGTCATTAAAGACCGACAAAATATTCAGAGCCCCGGCCCCCTGGCCGGGTAAATACAAACAAACGGCACGCAGGCCGTGGAAAGAAGACATAAAGCTTAAGAAGGGGGCAGATCTTCAATATTAGCAGTTGCCGCCTGGTCAGCACTCTTCTTGCTGGACTCGGCTTCAGTTGCATCCTTCTTTGATGCATTACCCCCAAGCGGCACAAGCGCCACTACCGGCTGCTCCTCCTCCTCCAACGCCTCTTCCTCAGCAGCCGCCAGGATCTCTTGATTATATCTATCAGAACACTGGTGGTACGTTTTTTCCCATGAGGCAAAGTCGGCATTGGGGAAGAGGCGGCCCCAAGTCATGCGCTGGATTTGAGCAGAGTCTTCCATCATCTCCCGGACGAGCTCTTTCTTTTCTTGCTCGGCCTTTTCCTAGAGCTCCTGAGTAAGACTCTTCTCCTGGGTCACAAGGCGTACCTTTACGCTCGCCAAGGATTTCTCCAAGGTTTCGTATGAGGACATCTTTTGGCGAAGAGGTCTTAGCTCGGCCTTGAGGTTGTTGATGGTCGCCTCCAGCTCGCTATTCCTCTTCTGGGCCGCCTCTAACTGAGCCCGGATAGCGGGGTAGCCTGCGCCTGATAATAAAGAATATCAATGGTCAGAACTTCATTTTGGGCAATTTGAAACATTGCCTTATCACAGTCAGAGGCGGCCATAGCTTTTGCAGCCTTTACCTCTTTGTTCTTCCGGTCAAGCGGCTTGCGAAGGCCGTTCACTCGGAGCAGGGCCTAAGTAAAAAGGGGAACAAGCGTCAGTTTCCAAACAAAAAAGAAAACAGGCGTCCTGGAATTCAAATACTCAAAAAAATGCTAAGTATACCTCAGCAAGGACCCCTGCAATCCCGTCTAGGTCAAGGGTGCCGACACCCCTGACCGCCTCCCTTTCAGCTGGAGGAACGACCTTGATCATAGACTTGGCCACCTCGACCAAGTCAGGCTCCTGAGGGCCGGCTGCATCAAGCATAAACAAACGGATTAGACCTAGTAAAGAAGGGAGCAAGTCTAAAATTTACAAGGATAATTTCATACTTCTAGGTGGCCCAGCTGGAGTTTTAGAAGAAGTGGCCGGCTGTTTCTCAGCCGCCACATGTTTCCTGGCAGAACCAGGAGAGCTCGCAACAGTCGTCCTCCGGGCCTTGGGGTCCGGCTGTTGGGAAGAAGAAGCTCTTGGAGCGTCCGTCTAAAAAAGAAGAAAAGAGTCAGTATATGCATAAACACAACTCCAAAAAGAGGGTGAAAGGTTCGAAGCCCACAAAGGGTGCCCCCTTGTTGGGGGAGTCGGTTGAAGAATGTTGCATGATGGAGGCCCGCAACATGGCCGCCGCAGTCTTCGAGGCGGTAATTTTGCTCATAGCATCCGCTGCAAAAACAAATAGCAAAGTTAATAAAAGTCATAACAAGAAATGCATGGAACAACAGAGTATTCGACAGGCCGGCTACCTCTTGAGCACCGACTGCTGAGGCCACAGGCGGCCAAAAAGTACTCATCGTAGAGCCATTTGAAGCTCGGGACGCAGTGCAGGGGTACTTGCTCTCGTACCCCTGAAGTAGAGTTCACCTTCGACTCTACTTTGAAGAGTCCTTTATCTAGGATCTCTTTCTTAGCCTTGGGGGGAACAGGCGGCATGCTGCGGCCGCCTGCAAGAAGGGGCGGATTCCTGTTCCACCTGTTGAAGCGCTTGTTCAGCTCTGTGTCTGAACTCTCAATGATAAGGAAGGTGCTCCGCCAGTCCTTCCATTTGTTTGCTTTACCTCTCGTCATGAGGTAGCCCCTGTGGCTCGTCAATTGATACCAGCCGGTACCGCCTGCCTTAGGGGTCCGGCTGAGGTAGTTCATGTGGGCGAAAGCCTCGAAGTTCGACTCCACCCCGTGCAGTTCGCACCCGGCCACATAGCCGAGTACGTTGACCCAGGAGTTCGGGGCTAAATGCCATAACCCCAACTCATACCCATCCAAGATCCGCTGAACAGCCGGATGTAGTGGGAAGCGCAGCCCAGCCTTGATGGCCGCCTCGTAGCAGCCAAAGCAGGCACCATCATAACTGGTACCAGCCGGCTAGACGACTGTGTCTTCTGGATCCGGCACGAACACTAAAAAGCCGGGGCCCATTGTGTGGTTTGCGATAAAGCTCTCCACTTTCTCTTGCATGGCTGTGATCCGGCCCCGAGGTACCGTGCAGTAGTAGGGGGTATTTTGTTCTCGGTTAGAGGCGGATGGCTCCGCCCAATCGTCCCCCTTCTCAACTGCGTGAGAAAGCCTCGCCTCTTGTAGGCGACTTTTTTTCTCTTCTGTGTCCAGAGAAGCATGGCCAGAAGAGCTAGACTCGGAATCGTCCTCTGACGAGTCCGAAGAGGACGACTCCTCCCCTCTCCCGGAGGGGCCCGCCTTCTCTCCTTTAAAAGGAGCAGGAGAGAATGTAGAATTGTTAACTGTAAAATGGGAAGGGGTCACTTTGACTCCTCCCTCAGAACTGCCGGCTTTCAAGCCGCTTTGTTTCACTTCCACATCTGGCGCCTGGTTAGATGTTTCACTAATCGGCACCCTGTGGGAGGAGCCGTCTGAGTTTGAGATCCTGGCAGTCTTTTTTGTTCTGGCCATCATGCTCTGCATAGGACACAGATACAGTTGGACTTTGTATAAAGGGCAAAGATGGGTCCAGAAAAGGGCAGGCGGCACTCTTAGTCCTAGATTCAGCCGTCCCCGGTGACCGGCTGATCACTAACCTAGGTCGTGTCGTGTGCTTCCGTGGTGCCATTTCAAAAAAGAATAAAGTAAAGAGAAAATTAAGAGTAAGAGAACCGACGGTTACCTGAACGAGTGACGATTGATGAAGTTCTGAAAATCCTTTGCAGTCGGCTTGTCAGAGCAGGCGGTAGGCAGAAAGAGTCCAAAATGTCAGAGCAAGTTCAGGGGTCCGAATGTTCTCTCACAAAGTTTTCAAGTGTGAAAATGACCGAAGTCAACACTCCTTTATATAGGCGAAGTGAGAAGGCGAAGGGTCACTTCCAGAATTCAAAATTTTGGCGGGAGAATCTCTCGGCCTCTCGCCGAGTGACACCTGTAGCAGGCCGTCGCCTGTTACAGGGCGATACCTGTCACAGGTAACACGTGACCAGTCACGTGCCACCTGTGAGGGGCAAATGATTAGGGGATTTTTCCCCACCAATCACCATCTAACAAGTGGACCAACCAGGTTCCGCCATATGTCCGTCACATGGGCCAATAGGAGCCTGCCACGTGTCAAGCAATGATCCGTCCACTATGGACCAATTACGACACGACACGTGTCCTTCCCATGACACCTGGAATAACCGGTCACCTAGGCCCAACTTCCGTGGGAAGCCCAATCAGCCCAAGGTTAACCTAAACCTAGATTGACACGTTTCCCGAGGTTATAAATACCTCCCTTAATCCTCATTAAGGGAGATTACGCAGATTACATACATTAAACTCTCTCACCTAGAGAGACCCAATCACTTTAATTTCAGCATTAATTACTCCTTAATCAAGTACTAACTTGACCGTCGGAGGCGGATCTCCAATCATCCGGAGCATCCGTTTGTTTTGCAGGTACAGGCGTCCGGTTCCAGTCTCGGAATTGTAACTCTCCCGCAGGACATCAGAAAACCCCGAAACAACACCCGTATCAGTTTATTTTATTTATTCTTTTTTGTATAGATTAATATTAAAGCAATAAATAAAAGAATAAACGGGTATGGCCATATGGGTAAAGGTATTTTGTTTAAATCCGTATCCATATCCGTTTCCATTGCACAAGTAACCAGATCCGGATTCGTCGGCTCCAGGATCCATTGCCATCGCTAAACAAGTACTCCGTATTACGGTTTGGTTACTGAATATGAAGTGTACCCATTAGGCCCATAAGAAGAAGAACCCAATAAAACGAGATAGAGGTTTGTGTCTTTATAAAAACCAAAACAAAACCCTAATAAAGCCTTACTCCCTTTGCCCCCTTCATTTCTTCTGCAGCAGCTGCGAGAGAAACAAACTGAACAACAATGGAGGCCGGCAAAACTGTTAAAGATGTTTCTCCTCACGATTTCGTCAAAGCTTATGCTGCTCATCTTAAGCGCTCCGGCAAGGTTTTCCGCTTCTTCTTTATTGCTATTCTTTTTCGATTTTGAAATCATGATTTTCGATTCAACTTTTCTGATTGATTGATGTTAATTTTATACTTTAAGATTGAGGTTTGATTAAGGAAATTTGTTCGCACATTACTAGAAGATTTTAGCTTCAATTTTTCCCTAATTTAATTTATGTTTATGATATTAGGTGTTCTAAGGATTTCTGTTTGATTAATTTGAAATTTTCGATTAATTTGGAACTAGTTTGGAGTAATCCGAGTTTCATTGGGTTGGAAATGGGTATTTTTCTGTAGAATGTAGGCATTAGATAATCTAATTTGTGTAATTTACACTCTAATATTGCAATTATTTAGATACAGAGGATGTAAATAAGATAAAGAAGCAAATATGCTTTAATAAGGGCAAGTTTAGCCATTTTGGTGACTTGGATTTTTTCTAATACTATAGAATGGCATAAGATCCATTTACACCCTATCATTTCGATTAATCCGAAACGGAGGAGATTATAATAAGTGGTAATGATACTATTATGTTTACTGCATATTTTGAATATGATATATATTACACGATAGAATGATATTAGATGCTATTGTTTATAGCGATGCCCCATTTGCAATTGTAAAAAATCAGCAGAGATATGTGAATTAACTCAATTAAGGCTTAATTTGTTAATTTTTTTTTTATTGACATCATATAAAAGTATGACATTAGATATTAAAGTATGACATTAGATGCTAGTAAAGTTGCAATCTTTGATATGTTGTTTATATGTTGTTTGTACTCTGTAGATGGAGTTGCCTCATTGGACTGACATCGTCAAGACTGGTAAGCTTAAGGAACTCGCTCCATACGACCCCGACTGGTATTACATTAGAGCCGGTAAGTCAGATTTTTTCTGGGCATCTTCATTTGCTTTTCCTCTTGAGATTGAAAATTTGAAGTATGTGTGATAAACTTTATTGAATATATGGTTTGTTCTTTCCCTTGGCTTATTATTTTTAAAGTACTTGAGTGAATGTGGATTTGTAGAGTTTGAAATTGATAATGCCTAGTGACAATGTGTTGTTGGTTTCTTGGATAAGCTGTTGTTGCTGAAGAGAGTAGTGATACCTATTTTTCTTTTCTCTTGGGTAACAAATTTGCTGGTAACCAATTTTTGCTTGTTCTTTTCTAGTGTATAAGGCATTGAAATGATGGATTTATATGTTTTTGATAATGTTCTTTGAACATTGATTTCCTTGTGAAGAAAACAAGAGGAACCACTTTCTATTTAATCCATACTTTAAACAAGATGGTGTAGCAAGGTCTTCATGCTTTTAAGCCTACTCGTAATGCCTATTTTATTAGCTTGACCTTTCACAAGTGCAGAGCTAAAGAGGTTTTCTTTTTGTTACAATTGATTAAAATCATGTGGATTGTGAGGGTATGGTAGCATAATAGGTGCTGTAAAGTAGTAGACCGCGAGTAGATAATAATGGTTTTTAATGCTTTGTTTTTTGATTAACTACTGGCATTATCTCCAGTGAAATGAAAATTGGTGTATACCCTTTTGTAGCTTTGTTAGTCTTTCCATTATTTTTGACCTGTATGTTTCCTTCTGTACTACATAAAAATTCTACGGATTGCTACAGTAAGGTTGTGAATGGCTGTGTATTATATCTCACATCTCTTGAAGAATTTGATATTTGTATTGTACTTAGTACATTTTGTTTTTTGGCAGTTATTAATGGTTGTTCATTCTTTTTGGCAGCTTCAATGGCAAGGAAAATCTACCTGAGGGGTGGACTTGGAGTTGGTGGATTCAGGAGGATTTATGGAGGAAGCAAGAGAAATGGTAGTCGCCCTCCCCATTTCTGCAAGAGCAGTGGTTCTGTTGCTCGTCACATTCTACAGCAATTAGAGGAAGTGAAAATTGTCGAAATTGATCCTAAAGGGTAAGCATTTCTTTGCTATTATTACAATCAGCTGTTAAATCTGAGTGGCTGGTCAATGTGTCATTTTTTGACAAGCTGAGATGTAATACAACCAAATAACCAAGTCAAGCTATTGCTGAGTATTGCCTCCACTCGAAGCGTTACCAACATTATGGATTTAACTCTTATTACTAATTTTATTATTTGAGCTCTTTCATCCAAGATGTAATTGGCTGTCTCAGAGTAAATGACATTTACATTAATATTTGCAGGGGAAGGAAAATCACATCAAGCGGCCAGCGAGATCTTGATCAAGTGGCTGGCAGAATTGGTGTTGAAGTGTAAGAAGGCTGGGTTGCACTCTTACAATTTAAAGCATCAATGGATTGTTTTTTTGACTCAAAAATGAAAACTAGTTGTTGAGGGGCGTAAAGCAGAATTTTACCTATTGTGGCTTATGTTGATTCTTAGTTTTGTGATGTTGTGCTAGTTGTCTTTGAGATTTTTTGTCTGCGGACGACACAAGATTATGAAATTAATTTACCTCATTTTTGTTGTGGTTGTGCTTAACTTTTAATTTGCTTCTCTTTATGATAAACTTAAATCCATGTGACTTTGTGACGCCCTATCTTCATGACCTATGAAATAGCATTACTGTTATTCTTTTCTCATCTTATGTTATGACTGCTTCCTATTAGATTAATTCAGTTGGCAGTCAGGTATTAATTGGCAACCGATAGGTAAAGGTGCCACTTAATGATTTGGCTGATCCGCAGCCTCTTGTGGACACGTAGAACACGACTGACTGTTGAGGAGTTTTGGGACCATGATAATGGATGGAAAAATGAACTCTTCACTAGCTATGTGCTTGAGCAAATGGCTAATATGAAGTTATTCATGATGAGGAGGTTGTAGACGAAGTGTGCTGGAATGGGGCTCCATCTTGAGATTTTTCAACTAGTTCATTGATCAATATTCTGCGAAATACTGAGAAGTCCCCATCTTGAGATTTCTCAATTAGTTCATTGAGCAGAGGCATGAATGGAAGAGTATATGGAAGGTCTTAGACTCCTTTTGCTGTAAAGGATGTGTATGTTTATGTGGCTAACAGTGCAAGATAGACTAATGTCTAATGAAAATAGACTTGTGAGGATGCTTACTACGGACCCTCGTTGCCAAGTTTGTGGTGCGTATGAAGAAACTTTAAGTCACATCTTGCGAGAATGCCTAGCAGCTCGAGCCATCTGGCAATCTTGGTTGGAGTGCGGCTAAATTGTCAACTGGGCTCTCGTGTAGAGAATGGTGGTTATTGCATAATATTGTTTAGCGAGTGCGCAGAAATGAGGAATGGCCTATGGGTTTTGTTGTCACTTAGCTTGTTTGTGGCCTTGTGGGTGTAGCGGTGGAGAAATGAGAGATGTTTCCCAAGAGGTGAAATACCCTTATATCAAGTGGGGTGTTTATTTGGGCTCCCATTGGTGACTTTAGAAGGGTTGCGTAGGTGTCGTATGAAGTATGCTTACCTTGTATACATGAATATGGTTGACAATTGTATGAAGTTAGATTTGACTATAATAACGATAGGGACAAGGGAGTATGTTTTGATTCAAGAAAACCATACAATCGTTTTTTCTTTACTAGTATTTTTTTTTTTTTTTAAAAAAAAATGCTTTTTAAATCAATAAAACACTATTTTTTATTTTATACTACATGGCATGTGAAGTTTCAGCAAAAGGCTACACATACAAAGCTAGTATGTGTAGGCCCACATACAAAGTTTGCCGGCAGCCTCTCATTGGGTTACTTAATGGGGTCCACTCCCACCCAAAAACCAAATTTCAGCCAAAATTTCAAATTTCATATTTCATCCAAATTTTCAACCAGCATATTTTGAAATTGAAATTTATTTATTTTCCTTTTTTTTTGTTAATTATTTATTTATTTGGCATTCCAGATAAAAGGGGGGGGTTGTTCTTCTTTGTCGCTGCCATCTTCTTCAATTACTCCAAATTTAATTTTTTATTTTTTTTTTATTTTTTTTATTTTTTATAACTTCATCTTTTTTCGCTCGGATGTGTAGCCAATTGATTCTGCTGTTCATCCTTTCATATTGAAAGACCTTTTTGTTGAATTTTTATGGAAGCTTTGATGGTGTTCACTCAGAATAATTGAAGCTTTTTTGGTGTATAATCAACAAAATTTACATTCCAAATAATAGTTGTGTCTAGTCTTGAACACTGATTTATGGTCATGTTATTAATTTATAGTGGATTTGTTAATTTATTGTCTAATTTGTGTGTTGTATCCATTAACGATCGACAAATTTTTTTCCCAATGTAAAAAGATAAATTTCCCCCAATGTAAAAAGAAAAATCGTGAAATTTTACATTGTTGGAAAAAATAACATATGATTCATCAATAATGGATAAGATTATAATTGATCTTAATCATTCAATATTCAAGCTTGAAGGATCATTCCGGCGATTAAAATGGCTAAAATGTCGATTTGCAGGGAAGACGACGAAAAGGACAAGTCGACCGCCGTATTTCGAAAATTAATCAGTAACAAATATTGGAAACTTAGTAATACAATTCCTATACCTTGACCACTTGTAAATTGTTACTAAACAATTTTTTAACAAGTACATAAGTGTAAATTATAACGAAAATAATAACTACATAAGTACCGCTTGGTTTCCAAAAAAAAAAAGAAAAAAAAGTACCGCTTGGTAAGGGTGTAAGTGTAATTCACTTACTCCAAGTCTAATTTGTTCCATTTTGATTTAAATGGTCACACTCGTTAGGTTTGTGCCCTGAGTGAGTGGCGAGTTTCTTGAAACATTTTAGGGAACGCCGACAGCTGTCGAAATCGCTGAGAGGGGTGCTTGGGCACGTGTTCATTCCGTCTACCTTAAAATCCCGCCGATCGCCTAACTAAATGCGATCAAGCGTCAGCGTAACAACTTCGTTCGAAAATGAAGCTGTACCGTGGAAACTCCTATTTTTAGCCTAACACACATCGGTACGCTTTATCGTTTAAGCATGGGATCGGAAAAAAAATTGAAATTCGCCAGCTCGAGCAGTTATGAATTCGAGAGGGACCAAGGAATGCGGACGCATTTTATGGTCATCGAGAAACACCTCCACTCGGTTTTCTTTTTTCCAATTAACGTATGCGGTAGGATACGTGTGCCTTTGTATTGAGCCTATGAAAAGTGCGGGGCAACCCCCCTCCAAGTGTGGGCCAACCCCGTGCGATTAGTGCCCTAGCCGTCACAATGTCAACTTTATGTTAATACCAATTAAGGTTTACTGTTAATATAAATTAGATTATGATGCGAATAAAACTCTTTTTTCACTTACACAAATATCTTACTACGGATTGAAATTAAACTGCTTATCAAAATTTATTTTTACAAAATTAAGGATGTATAGAGACTCGATCCCTACACAGTTTATTGTATCAATATGTGAATATTACGGTTGCATAAACTCAAATCAGTAATACCAAATCTTTAGCATCGGATTCAAGCCTATATATGATACGTATTCCATGCGGTTTTCTTTTTTCCAATCAATGTCTGCGGCAGGTTACGTATTCCTTTATATGTAACCGATAACAAGTGTGGGGCAACCCTACCCTGTTCGATTTGTGCCATAACCGTCATGAGCGTTTAATCTGTGCACATGTGTTTACTTCCTGGTAATCTAGTGTAAGGCGTTTCATTCGGAGACTTATATCTATTTTATCTGCCGGTGCTTGCTTAGCCTAAGCTTTGAGTAATCATCTCAATACTTGTCTCCTTTATGACAAATAATTTTTCTTTTTTCTTGAAATTGTGATAGTTATAGCGCGAATTGAACAAGGTAGGGTTGGCCCACACTTATTATTGGCTAAGTAAAGAATATGTTTGAATTTCTCCAACATAGTACAGTACAAGATCCCGTTAACAGGAATCACACCACCAGCCTCTCTCCGGCTGTGAGAAAATAAATTGGTGGGCAACACTGTTTAATTTATTCACTTTATTTTATATATACAAGTAACAAAAAAGATGTTCAGCGAGACAGACGACATCATGTCACTTATTTGTATAATAGTGTCCCTTTTGTAGTATTATTTGCACGTAAATGTCTATGCCAATGTTATATTTTTTATTTTTTTATTGCACCTAAAAAATTTCCAGTTACTGGACTACAAGTATTTTTATCAATCTATAATGACTAGTTTCCGATTAAACCTTATTTTTACCTATTTTCTTTTCCTTTTTTTTATTATTATTTTAATACATATATATATATATATATATATATATATATATATATATATATATATATATATATATATAAGAAATGGATCTCATTTTAAAGAACTCTTTTTACCAACGATTTATATGACGGAAGTAACTACATAAATACCGCTTGGTAAGGGAAATTTAATCGTTTTAGGCAGGTACCGGAAACCTTAGCGTGCCCAACGGTGTGCATACAGTCCGCTGCATGTATTCCATATGGATGGTTTATATTTCATGCCCTTTAGTTGGGAGTAGGCCAAATCACTTAAATGAGCGACGAAGATGATTATCTTCCATGCCATTTAGATGTGGTCACAGTCACGAAAGCTTCGGGTTTAGTATCCCTTTCCCCGGAATTGGCTTAAAATTAGTCCGCGACCAATTTCAATCGATTAATTTCACGAACGCCCCCGTTAACTGCCGTACGAAAGTGAAATGGGTAGTTCGGTAACAGCATATGCTTTAGCGGTAACATCATAAGTGTCGCTTGGTAAGGGACATGTAATCGCTTCATGCAGGAGCGACAATGAGTTCAAAAAAGCAGTGTATTTCGAAGTTCTAACCCAGTCTAGAGGGTCACCACAGTTTGGCCCGGAGGCGTAGGGAAGGCCGTAAAACACCACATCCGCTTATTTCCGGCATACAATAGTAACGAGCGATGCAGGGCCGGCTGCCAAACTAGCCTTCTCACATCCACCCCTAAGTGAGTGTCGAGTTTCTTGGAACATTTAAGGAACGCCGAAAGCAATCGAAATCGCTGAGAGGGGTGCTTGGGTACGTGTTCACTCTGTCTACCTTGAAATCCCGCCGACCCCCTAACTAAATGTGATCAAGACTCAGCGTAACAACTTCGTTCGAAAATGAAGCTGTACCGTGGAAACTCCAATTTTTAGCCAAACACACAACGGTACGGCTTTATCGTTTAAGAATGGCGTCGGAAGAAAAATTCAACTTCGCCAGCTCGAGCGGTTACGAGTTCTAGAGGGGCCAAGGAACGTGGACACATTTTATGGTCATCGAGAAACACCTCCACGCGGTTTTCTTTTTTCCAATTAACGTTTGCGGTAGGATACGTGTGCCTTTGTATTGAGCCTATGAAGAGTGCAGGGCAACCCCCCACCCCCCTACCCCGTGCGATTAGTGCCCTAGCCGTCACAATGTCAACTTTAAGTTAATACCAATTAAGGTTTACCGTTACTATAAATTACATTATGATACCAATAAAAGTCTTTTTTCACTAATACAATATCTTATTTCAAATTGAAATTAAAACTGCTTATCAAAATTTATTTTTACAAAATTAAAGATGTATAGAGACTCGAT